GCGGTGGCTCAAGCCTGTAATCCCAGCACTTTGGGAGGTCGAGACGGGCAGATCACGAGGTCAGGAGATCGAGGCCAGCCTGGCTAACACGGTGAAACCCCGTCTCTACTAAAAAATACAAAAAAACTAGCCGGGCGAGGTGGCGGCGCCTGTAGTCCCAGCTACTCGGGAGGCTGAGGCAGGAGAATGGCGTAAACCCGGGAGGCGGAGCTTGCAGTGAGCTGAGATCCGGCCACTGCACCCCAGCCTGGGCCACAGAGCCAGACTCAGACTCCCTCTCAAAAAAAAAAAAAAAAAAAAAAAAAAGAATGTTGTTTTTATGGAAAAACCTCAGAAAGTTAAATCTTTTAATTCCACGATGAAGTCTAGTCTGTCAAAATACTGTTTTTGTGATAATAAATGCAAAACCTACTATGCCATTTCTTACCAGCAGCCAAGATTTTTTTTTTTTAAATGTTTGAGAATTTCAGCAGTTGATGCAAAGTGGACATTATGAGCCACGGATCTATGTTACAGGAGTCAATTTTAGACATTTAATTTGAGTGGAATTTAAGTGTAGCTCCTCCCTTATCTCTTTGAAGTTGCTGGGGCCCTGTTGCATTTTAAATCTACTCAAAAGTGCCTCTAGGAGCAAGACCCGCTGGTCGCAGCCACTGATGGAGTTCATGGCCAACCCTCTCCCCACTCCTGTCCCTATGCATTTGTTCATGCAGTTCCCTCTAGAAGAAACACACCTCTGGTCGTTTTTCTCTCTCTCTTTCTCTCTTTTTCTTTCTTTTTTTTTTTTTGGTTTTTTTTTGTTTTTGTTTTTGTTTTTTTAGAGACAGAGTCTCACTCTCTCGCCCAGTCTGGAGTGCAGTGAAACGATCTCGGCTCACTGCAACTTCCATCTCCCAGGTTCAAGCGATTCTTGTGTCTCAACCTCCCGAGTAGCTGGGACTACGGGCATGCGACACCACGCCCGGCTAATTTTTATATATTTAGTAGAGACAGGGTTTTTGCATGTTGGCCAGGGTGGTCTCGAACTCCTAGCCTCAAGTGATTTGCCTGCCTCGGCCTCCCAAAGTGGTGGGAATACAGACGTGAGCCACCGCGCCCGGCCCGTTCTTCTTTTTCTTTTTCTTTTCTTTTCTTTTTTTTTTTTTTTTTTTTTTTTGAGACGGAGTCTCTCTCTGTCGCCAGGCTGGAATGCTGTGGCTCCAGCTCGGCTCACAGCAACCTCTGATTCTCTGGTTCAAGCGATTCTCCTGCCTCAGCTTCCCGAGTAGCTGGGATTACAGGCACGCGCGAGCACGTCCAGTTAATTTTTGTATTTTTAATAGAGACGAGGTTTCACCATGTTGGCCAGGATGGTCTCGAACTTCTGATCGTGGTCCTCCCGCCTCGCCTCGCAAAGTGCTGGGGTAACAGGCGTGAGCCACCGCGCCAGGCCCGGTTCTTCTTACTCTTAAAGGCAGCCCAGACAGCAGCCCAAGAAGCCCCCCGCCCCGCCCCCCAAACCTCTTAGTTTGCGTAAAGCGCCTCGATTCCGTGTGGTCATGGCTTTATATTTGTCCCTCTTCCAGTTGAAATAACTTGTGCGCCTATATAGGGCCTGGCCTGCGGTGGAATGGTCGCGGCTGCAGCTGGAATCGCATCACTTCCTCCTCCCCTCCCCCAGCACTGACACACGAGCCCCAGTGTCCTGAGGATGACTCCAAACAGCGTCGGGCCTTCAAGTGGAACTTCAGGCTTGTTGAGGAGTGCCTGGAACTGCACCAGATTTCAGGGGTGCCTGGGGAGGCTTAGAGATGGGAGACGCCCTGACTTGGTTCCTTTCCAGAACATTTGGGAACACTGGGCTTGGTTTCAGGCACCAAATGAGGACTCGCCCACGGTGGACTTAGTTCTGAGGTGGCCTCTTGCTCCCTCTAGTGGTTTAGAAATCACAGCCCTGCAGGAAGGTCAAAAACGGGTCCGGTTTTTCTCCGAGGAGGAATCCTCATTAACCATTTAGACATCTACTGCGCAGTGAAGTCAATTCATGAATACGTTTCTGAGCAATCCAATAATTAACCAAATGCACACACAATAAGGACTTTGGACCGTCTTGTGGGATCCTTGGAGGACCTTGGATTCATTTTATAATGCAAACCTAACATGCTGTTAAGTACCCAAGGAATAATTGAAAATATGCTTTAATCAAAGTCAATCACCCTGTCATTGTCAGCCTGTGAAACATTAGCTCATGGAGCGGGATGACAGCACGCAGTTCTCTTATCGCTCCAAGATAACTCCACCAGGATGACAGAGAAGCATCAGATTTGGAGATGTCACTAGTCTGGAGTCTCAGTTACATTCAAATTTCATGATAGCCTATCCTTGGGGAACTGAATTGTCTCTTTTGAACAAAGACAATTTCCTAGTTGGGTGAGTTCAGTCATTTTGTGATTCAATATCAGATCATTACAGTTCCTTTGGGACATAAAAACTATCGTTTCTAGAGACAGAGGAGTGTACTTTGCGATGTATGTTCCTGCCCTATACATACACTTCTTATGCGACATATATTTTCTGAATGACTTAAAAATAATAGCTGAATGTGGCATCTTTCTTCAGAATAGCACGAAGCTTTAAATATCACCTACTGTGGGGTGCAGCGGCGCATGCCTGTAATCCCAGCACTGGGGAGGTTGTAGTGGGAGAATTAGGCTTGATTTTCAGAGTTTGAAACCAGCCTGGGCGACATAGGGAGACACTGTCTCAATTATAAATAAATAAATATCACCTCCTCAGGGAAGATTTCCTGAGGCACCAGACCAGCCTGGGCTTCCCACAGTGACGACGGCCTCCCACAGCACTGGCTGACCACAGAGCACTGGTCATGCCTGCCATTTAATCAGGGCCTGGTTTGTTTTCCATCTGTCTCCTCTGTCCAAAGCTGAGCTCCATGGTTGTTTGTCCATGACAGCATCCCAGAGTCTAGCACAGTGCCTGGTATAGGAGGTGCTGAATAAATATTTGTCAACTGATACAATCTAGGGGGGGTAAATGCTGAGGAGACAGACTGCAGAGGTGAGCTGGGTTTTTTTGTTTTTTTGTTTTTTTTTTGAGACAGAGTCTCCCTCTGTCACCCAGGCTGGAGTGCAGTGGTGCCATCTCAGCTCACTGCAACCTCCGCTTCCCAGGCTCAAGTGATTCTCCTGCCTCAGGCTCCCAAATCGCTGGGATTGCAGGGGGCCACCACACCTGGCTAATTTTTGTATTTTTAGTAGAGATGGGGTTTCACCGTGTTGACCAGGCTGGTCTCGAACTCCTGACCTCAGGTAATCCACCTGCCTCAGCCTCTCAAAGTACTAGGATTACAGGCGTGAGCCACCGTGCCTGGCCTGATTCTTATCTTAGGGCTGTGAGGGAACCCTTCATTCAAATTATGAGCAGAAAAAAATACCTTATTAAAGGCTCAGGATAGTGAGGTGCAGGGCTGAGATTAGCACCCAGGTGGCCAGTGCACATCTGCAACCACAGTGCAGCGAGAGAAACCCAGAATTCTCCCACTCAACTCCCAAGTCAAGCAGGAATCACCATCCCCCGGCTCATGGAGCTGCATTTCTTTGCCAAGGGCCTGACGGAAACTGTCCTAAGCTCTGGGGGATGGTTTACCAGCAGGACTGTCCCATTATCTTAACATGTGTGGGATGTTTACCTTTCCAAAGGCATTTTTTTTTTAAAAAAAACAGACTGGAGTGCAGTGACATGATCTCAGCTCACTGCAACCTCAGCCTCCCGGACTCAAGAGATCCTCCTGCCTCAGCCTCCTGGGTAACAGAGATGGCAGGTACATGCCACCACACCCAGCTAATTTCTCTACTTGTAGGTGAAATGGGGTTTCATCATGTTGGCCAGGCTGGTCTTGAACTCTTGACCTCAAGTGAGCCACCCTCCTTGGCCTCCTAAAGTACTGGGATTACAGGTGTGAGCCACCGTGCCTGGCCTCTAAAGGCAAATTTTTAAAGCACTGAAAATTAAACAATAACATAAATACCTGGAAGCTCTGGAGGCAGCAAAGACAGAGGCCAAAAGTGTGCAGACTGTAAGAATAGAATAAAGAGTAAGGGTAAGACTATAAAGAGGAATGAAAATATGAGGCCAGGTGAAAAGATAGGGAAAAGAGAATGAATGTGTTCCTTCTTGTGTCCTTCAGCTTTCCTTCAGTATCACTGACTATCTGAAGAGAAATTTAGTTAAACAGGCAGCATGTATGAATTGAATGCTGGGAAAGAAACACATACATTTAAAATCCCACAGGAAAATTATAAATGTGAGCAGGTCAGCAGGGAGGCACCCAGCCTTGGTGGGCCTCCTGGGATGTCATGTAGCTGAGTGTGTGTTTTCAGCCCCGCTATATCCCAGGTTTCATTTTTGAGTGAGGGTGATGGTATTTGGAGTTAGAATGAGTAAACCCTTTTTGACTTTATTAGGTAGGATTGTTAAGGTTGGCTGTAAATAATAGAAAAAAAAATCAAAATAAGTGGCTTAACAAGAGAGAGAGAGAAGGTAGAATTTTAGGCCAGGCACTGGCCTACATTTGTGGCTCATGCCTGTTATCCAAGCACTTTGGGAGGCCAATGCAGGAGACCAGGAGGTCGAGGCTGCAGTGAACCATGATTTCACCAAGGCACTTCAGCCTGGGCAACAGAGTGAAACCTAGTCTCAAGGAAAAAAAAAAAAAAAAGAAAAAGAGCCTGGGTGCAGTCGCTCACACCTGTAATCCCAGCACTTTGGGAGGCCAAGGTGGGTGGATCACCTCAGGTCAGGTGTTCGAGACCAGCCTGACCAACGTGGAGAAACCCCATCTCTACTAAAAATACAAAAAAAAAAAAAAAATTAGCCGGGCATGGTGGCGCATGCCTGTAATCCCAGCTACTCGAGAGGCTGAGGCAGGAGACTCGCTTGAACCCAGGAGGCAGAGGTTGCAGTGAGCCAAGATTGCGCCATTGTACTCCAGCCTGGGCGACAAGAGCAAAACTCCATCTCAAAAAAAAGAGAGAGACAATCTTCTCTCTGCTCGCGTGGCAGACTCGCAAGGGCGCCACAGAAAGACAAGAAGCCCAAGAAGTCAACCTGGAAGTTTAATTTGGACCTTACTCATCCAGTAGAAGATGGAATTTTTGATTCTGGAAATTTTGAACAATTTCTATGGGAGAAGGTTAAAGTCAATGACAAAACTGGATATCTCGGGAATGTTGTTCACACTGAATGCTTCAAGAATAAAATCACATTCTTTCTCAGAAACAGTTCTCTAAAAGGTATTTGAAATACCTTACCAAGAAATACCTTAAGAAGAGCAATCTTCATGATTGGCTTCGAGTGGTTGCATCTGACAGAAGACTTACGAACTTCATTACTTCCAGATTAGTCAAGAAGATGAATCAGAGTTGGAGGACTAGGCAAAGGCTTCCCTTGTAGGGCTTTGCTTATTAACAAAATAAATGAAGTATATGTGAGAAATACCAAGAAATTGGCTTTTAGCTTATCACTGAATAAGAAAAAAATTGCACTCTTTAAAAAAAAAGAGATAATTTTCTTTCTGCTACATTTTCAAGAAGGCAGGAGGAAGATTATCAGGCTTTGTTTGGGGTTTAAGGTTGAGGGATCTTCTACTTGATAGTACCACAGTGCACAGTTTCCCTTTTCAAGGTGGCCTCGTAGTCTAAGTTGGCCGCTGAGGCCCCACTCACACACCTGCTTTCTATTCAGCACAAAAGACCAGACTGAGAAGGATGCATCCTTTATTTTAAAAGCGCTTTTTAGCAGTTGTACTCACAACTCGTGCTTACGTCCTGTTGGCTGGAACTTTTCTTCATGACACACTGACCTGCAAAAAAGTTGGTGAAAGGAAAACTTCTGTTCCAGGGCGGGGGCGGGGGTGGGGTGGGGAATAAACTGAAATGAAAAATCAAGGACTCTATTACTGAGAAGGAAAGGAGAATGATTATTGGAGGACAATATGCAATATGCAGTCTTCATCACTGGAATCGAACATATATTTTTTTGTTTCTGAAAATGAGTCCGGCCTCACTCTCTCCAGGGCATGGTGAGGGGCCGGAGTGGTAGCTGGTAGAAAGCTAGTGTCCTTAAGACAAGGATTGGCTTTAATCCTGCTTTGGGTTTTTGGGTGATCTGAAATCCAAATGTGGACACAAATGTCTATTTTTGTGTTTGTCTTTGAGACAGGGTCTCACTCTGTCACCCAGGCTGGAGTGCAGTGGCGCGATCTTGGCTCACTGCAGCCTTGACCTCCTGGGCTTGGGTGATTCTCCCACCTCAGCCACCCAGGTAGCTGGGACTACAGGCGCCCATCACCATGCCCAGCTAATTTTTGGTATTTTTAGTAGATATGTGGTTTCACTATGTCACCCAGGCTGGTCTCGAACGCCTGGACTCAAGCAATCCACTCGCCTCAGCCTCCCAGAGTGCTGGGATTACAGGCATGAGCCACCGAACCCGGCCAAAAGTCTATTTAAGAGCACAAATGAGGGAAAAATAATCTAGTTTTGCCAATTATATTATCACTAAAGCTCTTACGTTGTTGTAAAAAGTCACCAGACATGTTGTATAATGTCACTTCTTCCTTCCTTCCTTTTTCTTTCTTCTTTCCTTTCTTTTTTTCTTTCCTCCCTCCATCCTTCCCTCCTTCCTTCTCTCTGTCTCTCTCTGTCTCTCTGTCTCTCTCTCTCTCTCTCCCCCACTCCTCTCTCTTTAGAGACAGGGTCTTACTCTGTCACCCAGAGCTGGAGTGCAGTGGTGTGATCATAGCTTACTGTAGCCTTGAACTCCTGGGCTTAAGCCTCCTCCCACTTCAGCTTCCCAAATAATGTTGAATTTAGACGATAAGTTTACACAAGTCTTTAAATTCAACCAACTCTCATCCTGTGGATTCAGAGACAACAGCTGACTATCCAGGAGATAAAGATTCCTGGCTATTCCTTTTCACTATCTTCTTTGCTTATTGGAAAATGCTGGAGTTACCCCAAATTCTGTCCTGTTTTTTTTTTTTCTCTCATTTTAATCCTTCTTGAGTTTTTTCCAATTTGTCATGTTTAAAAGTGGACTCATCTTTTCTTTTCTTTTTTCTTTTCTTTTCTTTCTTTCTTTTTTTTTTTTTTTTTAGACAAAGTTTCGCTTTTATTGCCCAGGCTGGAGTGCAAAGGCACGATTTTGGCTCACCGCAACCTCTGCCTCCGGGGTTCAAGATATTCTCCTGCCTCGGCCTCCCAAGTAACTGGGATTATAGGCTACTGGCTGATTTTGTATTTTTAGTAGAGACGGGGTTTCTCCATGTTGGTCAGGCTGGTCCAACTCCCGACCTCAGGTCATCCACCTGCCTTGGTCTCCCAAAGTGCTAGGATTACAGGCGTGAGCCACCATGCCTGGCCGATCCTTTCCTTTCTAACCCTATTCCTGGTTGTCCCCCTACTGAGTAGACAGCACCAGCCATGGCCTCAGCCAGGTACCCCACTCTCCCTCACAGTTCACATTTAGCCAGTGAGTGCTAGGCATTCCTACTTCTTTCTCTCTAATTCACTTTTCACTTTCTCCAAGCTCCTGCCATCTGCCAGGAACAGGGAAGCATCCTCTCTTGTTTGATTATAGCAGGAGCCTCCCTATCTCCTCAGATCATCCAGGCTGATCTCGCTAAAAGTTCAACTCTGCTCCTGTCTCGCCCCTCTTTAAACCAGATTCTTCCACGGAATTAAGCCCAGGTTCTTTTGTCATTTGTTTTCCTTTTTATTAATAATAATAATAATTATTATTATTTTTGAGATTGAGTCTCGCTCTGCTGCCCAGGCTGGAGTGCAGTGGTGCGATCTCGGCTCACCGCAGCCTCCGCCTCCTGGATTCAAGTGATTCTCCTGCCTCAGCCTCCTGAATAGCTGGGACTACGGGCACATGCCACCATGCCCGACGAATTTTTGTATTTTTAGTAAAGACGGGGTTTCACTGTTGGCCAGGCTGGTCTTGAACTCCTGACCTTTTGATCTCCCCACCTCAGACTCCTAAAGTGCTGGGATTATAGGTGTGAGCCACCATCCAGCCTTATTAATTTATTTTTTAGAGATGGTGTCTTGCTCTGTCTCCCAGGCTGGAGTGCAGTGGTGTGATCATAGCTTCCCTCAGCCTTGAAATCTTGGGCTCATGCAATCCTCCTGCCTCAGCCTCTGGACCAGCTGGGAATACAGGTGTGTACCACCACACCTGGTCAATTTTTAATTTTTTTGTAGAGATGGAGTCTCACTATGTTGTCCAGGCTGGTTTTGAACTCCTGACCTGCAGAGGTGGGAGGATCGATGGAGCCTTCCATCTCTGACTTTTAACATGGTCTAGAAGGCCTCCATGAGCTCCATCTCACCTCTTTTTTGCTCCTTCCCCGCGGACCTTTACAAGGTGCAGCCATTCCAAACTCCTTTCACTTCTGATTATCTCATGTTCTTTCTCACCTCCCGGCCCATGCAATGAGGTTGCTCCCCAACTACATTCTTACTCCTCTTAGATTTGCAGAGAAGCCTTCCCTGAAAGAAGCCCTCTCCCACCTCCCAGATTGGGTTAGGCTCCTCCTGTGTGCTGACTTCATTGTCTCCCTCCAACATTGCTTAGAACGCTAAGTTGCAACTTTATGTCTAATTGATTGCTCCACTAGTCCATAAAATCTAGGAGGAAAGGGCCGTATCCTCAGCCCTTGACACACGGCCTTGTACATCTTAAGTTTGCATATGAACCACTAGAACAACCCTATAGGTTGTGCATGATTATTCCAATTGTTGTCATTGCTGTTATTTTAAATAAAGATGGGGGCTCACTATGTTGCCCAGGCTGGTCTTAAACTCCTGGGCTCAGGTGATCCTCCCACCTTGGCCTCCTAAAGTGTTAGGGTTACAGTCGTGAGCCACCTTGCCTGGTCAATTATCCCCCTTTTAATGTATGCACAAAGAGTCGAGGTTCCACTGGTTTTCCACTGCAGTATCTCTGCTGAAGACTTAAAAAAAAAAAAAAAAAAAAATCACAGGGCTGTGCTGGACTCCTGGGACTTCCAGAGGACAAGGCCCTCTCTTCAGTGAGGCTGATCTCCACAGAGCCAGCCCTCCTTCCCCTCCCAGCCACAGCTGTGTGTTGGAAAGCTGGCGGCCTGGGCCCCTAATAAAGAGCAGACCTCCCAATCTCCTCGTTCCCTCCCCCTCCCCTCACATGGTTTTTCAAATTAAAAGCAACTAAAAGGAAAGACCTAAGGAGCAGGAGAGGGCGGAGGCACAACAACATGTTTAAACCGAGGAAGGGGGCTCTCTCGCGAGGGAAGGGGTATCCAAAAGCCAGATCCAGAGGGTTCCAGTCCTACCAGTCTGTCCCAGACTCTAAGGAGTGTATGGCCCACCGGGCTGGACTGGACCAGGAAACAAGTTCTTGTCCTCAGGTCCGTAAACAAGCTCTGGTGTTAGGAACCCTCTGCTTCTACTTCTCCTTGGAGAGCGAGCCCCTCAAACCCAGAAGAGAGGCTGCACCTTGAGATCCAGCCAACAACCACAGAGAAGAGGAGGTGGGTGCGGAGTCCTGGGGAGGCTAACTTTCACCTCAAGCTGCACAGACCCATCTCGATCTTTTTGTAGAATTCCTCCTTTTCCCAGACTTGTGCCGTTCTGAATTCTGAGCGTGCAAAGAGACTCCTTAGAGCTAGCTTACAAGCCTCAGCTGGGGCAGACCCGAGGCCACGGCGTCCCTCTCTCTGCAAGGATCCCTCACATCTGTGCGTCGCCTCCACTACCTCCGGGCAAAGGACCCTTCCGCGCTGGACCCAGGGAGGGGGCTATTCCAGATGCAGCCAAGGGTTAAAGGGGGTGAGGGAAGGAGCAGTTCGCACCATTTTTTTTTGCAAACCACCAAACAGGCCCTTCGTTTTCAAACTGTGAAGCCAGAAACATCCCCTGTTCCCTTGCCCCGCCCATCACCATTTGAAAAAAATAATTCACAAGTTTAAACGTGATTTTCACAACTAACGGCTTTGATAACTGTTACATTCGTAAGGCTTCTAGAGCAAACGGACTTGAATTCTTCGAGGAAAGTACAATTGGGGGTGGCGCTGGGGAGCAGGGGAGGAGAAGACACAAAAAGCCAACTCAGCGGGAAGCGCCCTCAAAGCCAAAGGTGTGGCGCTCGGAGCTGTGGCCGCCCTCGCCCGGGAGTTGGGGCCGGGAGAACGGACCCTGGAGGCAGGGCAAGGCACGGCGAGATTTTGCTTTTGTTTTTAGTGACCGTTTTGATCTGGTTGTAAAAAGTTTACGAGGCCCTCTTTTTGAAGGTCAGCTCATCGACTGCACCTTTTTATGCCCTTGCTCCCAATTTCATGTCGCCTGCTGGCGTAGATGCGCAAGGCCGAGGACAGAACTGTCACAGTCCC